GATAAGGGATTATTTATGTATGCATGTGTAAAGTTATAACTAGTATAAACTAATCTGTATGAAATTAACTTGGTTAAAATATGGTGTTTAGTTTGAAGATTGTTATTGCAAAATAGGTTGAAAGCAGTTCTTGTGATGAGGAACATGATAAGATATGCAAAATTAAAGATGATGAAAGAGTGCAAAAATGTGGGTTTAAATACCTTCTGTATTGATTCTTGTGGAGATCAAACAATCCATTGAAATAGTGCACAATGTGTGAGTAAATCAGAACACTATCAGATCATTGTCAACCTAGATCTTCTGGACTGGCTCCTTTAAAGTTATTTTGTTGTCTGCTGATTGGTTAGTTCTATTTAACTTTTGATTGGTTAGAAAATATGAATACTGAAATTAAAATTTTATTGTGCTGTGATTCATTTTTTGTATAGACTTTATTCGTGACTAAAAATAACTTAAATTTGTCCTTCACACTACATGGTAGCTCATTAACCATTATCTGAAAAAATACTGTAAAAGGACGAAATGAATTTCTCAAAAAGTTACAACTCTCACAGGCACCTTTGCTTGGTTTACTACTTACTCATTGCAGAAAAAGTAAACAGTTTTTAAAGCAGTCTACTGGGCTCATTTTTCTATTCATGGAACAATGAAATTGATTGGCATGTACCCTACAGAAGTCCATCCACTCAGAGATGCTTGCTTGTGCTTGTTTGTCATTGACTAGGCATGAAGCTGACTAATTTACATCTTCCTTGAACTCATCAAGAGGCGATATATACATATATATATATATATATATATATATATATATATATAATTATTTATTTAAAAATATGATTCCAACACGCTACATAAGAGTTCTCATATAATTATTTGAATTAAATTGAATTAAAGTAAGCTCTGTTCCATCTTCAATCGAATTTTTTTTGGGAATAACTTATTTCTGAAATTTACGTGTTTTAATAGCATATTCATTATTGAAATCAAAATTTCCATGGTAACGGCTAGAGCGATTGTTTAAATAGAAAGGGGTGTAGGGTGTTAATAATTTGTATCAGTATAGAGTTACATTCATAGATGTCAAGTCAGGGTAAGGTTGGGTTGTCTAAATTTAAAACATAAGATGGTTTCACCTATTCTGGTTTACGTGTCTATGGAGATTTATTTATTTTTTTATTTTATTTTTTTCTGAAAGGGTTTTGTGTATATAAAAAAACTGCTGTGACATTTGTTTTTTGACGACTTGATAAAGGGTTATCTTTTTTTGTAGGGTATTTAAACTATTTATTTATTAGGGCTATGGATTATAAAAATTATTTTATTGTTTGTTTGTTTTTATGCTAATTATTCAATGCAAAAATTTGATGATGTCGGCAAAAAACCGTTAACTCATGTCTATTGTTTAATAGATTTTTATTATTTAGAAACTTAATAATGTGTAGTTTTTCATGTAGGCATAAAGGGCATGGGTCATCCCAAGTTTTACAAGTTCTAGTTTTGTTTATAATTTTCCATTTTACTTTAGGTGTTTTATTTATTTTCTTCAAATGCCAAAAATATTTAGATAGAAATGTCTGATTTCTTTTATTTATATTGTTGAAATCATATTATTAGGACTCTCAATGGATGAGATAGTACATTGGTATACCACAGATTTGACACAGCATTTATTTTCTAGATTTTCATGATTTTCATTTCTATGCCTTTTGTCAATGTGAAATCACAATAATGACAAGCATTTCTCAAAATTGGAGATTGAAAAATTCCTGCTGTTTCTTGGTACCCGACAATAATATTCAGATGCCCGGTGTAAACATGTAAATACATAAAAATTCAGCAAATTGGCTTCAAATAATATAATAATACAAACGTAAGCACGATTGGACAGGAACAGTGATCTACTGGAAATTGTATCATTGACCTGAATTTGATCATGCAAATTTATATAGACACAAACCAGAAACTATGGTAGAGAATGAAAACAAAAATTCTAAAGAATTGTCGAAATGTAAATAGATCATTCAGTTCAGGACTAGAGACCAGAGCCAAATAGTAAATCATAGTTAAATTAAAGGAGAGTGAAAAGCTGGAGAAATATGAAGACCTTGTGAGAGAACAGAAACAATTATGGAACATGAAGGTGATATCCGTCATTACTGAAGTAACTAGAAGAGTTCCAGAGAGTCTTATAAAAAGATTAGAAGAATTAAATTATAATAAAAAATGGAAACATTTCAGACAACAGTATTATTAAAATGTGCTAGAGTAAAGAGACTTGTTGTCACTTGATCACCAGTGAAAGCCTCCAGCTATGACTGATTTGAAAACATTTGAGTACAATAATGATTATTAAAAAAGTAAAAAGGATCAGTTATCTGCAAAGTTCTTTTTTCAGAACAATTTACTTATTTTACTTCTTTCACAGTACAATAGATTTATTTTGAAATATGTCGTATTTGATAGCATATCAAATTCTCCATACACTTTTCCTCTAAAAAAAAATATGGCTCCTACATTTAGTTAAGATATCTGGTATACTAATGTTTACAATGCCATAGACTACCAGTTCTTCTAGTTAGCATAACTCCATAATGACAGGCTATTACTCATTTTTGAGCACACTTATCTGCCAGGGTGGCTGGCTAAACCCTGTTACACATACCTGTTCTTTTTTATATTGCAATAGTTGCAGTATAATAGATGAACAGACCTTATTTACAGTTTCTGAGAGAGAGAGAGATAACATCTGGCGTGATTAATGTTTTTTGAACAAGGCCAGTATGCTCAAATCCTCAGTTACAATGACTTGTGATTTATGTGCTAACACAACCATCAGTGGCTTCAGAACAGTTCAGTTTACCTAATTTCACTTACAAGTCTTAGGTCAACCTGTGATATAGTTTTCAGGCACTTTCCAAAGGTGCTGCACATTGGGTTTACCTCCCCAGGCTGATAACATCAGAAAATCACCTCTCCGACAAATCAATCATTGTGAGATTCAAACTTGTGTCTCATAATCAGAAGGTGAACATTCTAGCCACATGCCAATAAACTCCATAATAATCTAATAGTAAATGCAAGTGAGGAGGAAGGGGTGTTATACACCATCAAACATATAATAGGGGTAATTTTTGTAGTGCAAATCTAGAAAAGGAATGATAATAAAATTTTGAAAACCAATGCAAAATTTAGAAAGTATTAAAACTAAAAATAAAAATTGGAAATATGTTTGTGATAAATTTTCTTAATTTTAGGATGGTGACCACTCCTTACAGCAAATCAAGAAAACTAACAACTGCTAAAAAAATATAAAAAAAGTAATAAACACAAAATAATTCAGAGTTCTTTAGCAATACAGAAGATAGTATTTTTTAAAAATAATAGACATTCAATAATCAGTTATTTTTTCTGATAAAAAACAAAATGAAAAGTTTTTAAATACATAAAAAAGATGCTGATGCTCTATTCTGCCTTTTATATTACACAAAGCATCAAACATCCCATCTAAGATCTTAATATTGCCTACTCTTCTGGTTCAACTGGAAAAAAGGAATCATAACTTGCAACTCTTTAACTAAAATCTGCATCATGGTATACAAGAATTGTATACAAGAATTGTATTAGCTGGACATTGCTGAAGGCTTGTTAGTTGCATGCAATAAGGAAATTAAGAAAAAAGACACCCATTGTATCAGTAATTTATATAAATGCGAATGCCAGTGTGTCACACTCTTTCAATTAAAGGGACATAACTCTAACTTTCAATAGCTCATCTTCTATATAATAAATGCAAATGTCAGTGTGCCACTGTGTCACACATTTCCAATTAAAGGGAGACAATTCTCTAACTTTCAATAGCTCATCTTCTATATTATAAATGTGAATATCAGTGTGTCATTGTGTCACACTTTTTCAACTTTTATCCTAGAGGCTGTAGCCCAATATATCATACCATTTTGAAATCAGGCTAACTCTGTGAGCAAATTAAAAACATTCCAAGCCGGATCCAGACACACAATCCTGAAATTTTGGATTCCAAAGTTTTCATTATTGCGATTGTTTTTGGTTATTTTATGTGATTTTTTGCAACAAAATATTTTGTATGATAACAATTTTTATAAATTGGAAATAAATTTGAGAATAATTGAAATTAATTATGAAATCCAGTGAAATAAAAATAATTTTTTGTACAGAAAGTAAAGACCTACATACAGCAAATTACCTTTAAATTAAGAGGCCACAGAAGAATTATCACTGAACTTTCAAAAGGTAAGTTTAAATATTAATGCAATACTTAAATGCAGTGATCAGTTTTGAGTTCTTCTGTAGTTTATTGTTGCCTATCGTACATGGCAGCACTATGACATGCAAAAATATATCTCGACTACATTGCAATCAAAAGAGCCAAGGTTGCAGCAAGGAAAAGAAAGTCCCATGCAAATGAAAACCCAGATCAAATGACAGCCAAGAGAGCTTCCAGTGATAAGAATATGAAAAGACTTAGGGATCTCAAACTCCTGAACAAGCCAAAGGCCAAATCAAGAGCTCTCTACAAGAGCTAGCTTAAATGCTGCCTGATAGGGCAGCTCTTAAGATAGTTACAAATATTTATATAATAAAAGGATGATATATAGTAGCTTATATACCAAACTTTACTCCAGGGTTCACTGCAGCTACAGTAATGAGTTAATAGGTCCTGTGTAAATAGGATGAGTTCATCTGAGGTAATATTTTTGGAAGTGGTGGTGACTAAGGGGTTATATCTGTTGACAACTGAAATTTGATTATTGATTTGCTATAAAATTAGCAGGCAGTTTAGTATAATATATATATATTCCAAAAGTGAGAATGTTTGAGAAATTGCAATTTTTTGTTTAGCTTTTTGAGATAGTATTTATGCAAACTGGTAAATACAAAATAAAAATAAAATCTAAATGACACTGCAAAAAAGAATAGTAAAACAACAACAAAGAAAATATATATATTTATATACTCACTTATCTATCACTTTAGATGTACGTAATCTTGGCCTGTCAAGGGCAGCAGATAGATAATCCACCTAAAAAAAGAACACAATGAAAGATGAAAGGTTATTCAATTTAATATTGCGTGTAAATATCAAGTCAAGATTTTATTTAATTTTACAGATATACATTTGAAAAATTGTTTGACAGTATTAATTTTCAAAAAAGTTAGTTTCAATTGATGGTATATTGCTTTCATTGCCCATCTTGAATTTGACTTTATATATATACATATATATACATACAGAGAGAGAGAGAGTTATGTATCTGGGAAGCAATCCCTCTCTAATACATGTTTAATTAAAAATGATTGGCACAGTACTTCTGTTAAGTTTTTTATAATGTTTTTCATGTACCCTGCCAGTCATTTTTAACACATAGATTCAGAAATATCTAAGCTGTCAGCTGTATACAACTGCTTTCTAAGACCAAACATTAAAAATGGCTTTGAGGCTGTTGGTGAAGACCATCTTTCTTTGAACAATGGTGCTACAGAATTACAAAGAAAGAATTGAACTGAATAACAGAAAACATATCACTTGAGGACTATCAACAGCAGCAATAACTATAATGGATAGCACATATAACTCAATGAAAAAATAATGACATAGTGAAGATGTTGATATTCCACACTACTTCAAATAAAAGTTTAGTATGGAAACCCCCATCAATACTGGAAAGTGCAATAACAGCAACTGCACTTGAGAAACTTATTTTCCTGAAAAATAGTTTTAAGTGTTAGATTTTTAAAATTTTTAATCGACAGCAGTAGTGGCTGCTCAGTCAATGAATGGCAAATATTTCCTTGGAAAGAAACAGCTAATATTAGCGCATTACCATATATATGCTTATTCATGTACACATACATGTTTATATTAAAACTGAAAGTAAATTTCTATTTTCATCTTATAACTAATGAGATGGAGATCCACTTAAAGCAGATAAACCCATAATATTAAAATCTAATTTTTAAAGTATATTTTAAGTTAACTTGAATAAACAAAGATAAAAGAAATTGCTACTAATAATATATATTAAAAGCATAAAATCAGCCAAAATAAGAAACAAAAAAGAAAAAAAACAAGGGTGAAATAAAATATATCTGGGATTTATTAATTAGCAGTCAAATTAATTTTATTGAAGCCAATATAATAAATAACCCCAATATGCTATAAAAAAAAATGTCTTTAAATACAATTGTTTATAATTTGGAATGAAAACTTAATATTAAAAACATGTATAATCATTTTTTTCAGCTTAACTTTATAGACACAGGTTTTATTGTTAATTATAGGGAATAGACTTTCCAAAATTGTCATAGACTGTGAAGAGGAGAGTAAAAGAAAATAATGACTAATACGTCAATCATTGAAATAATTTCTAGACAATTATGCATAAAATTGGATGAACATGAAATTATGATGTAGAAATTTTAGACATTTTCTGCAGTTTGCTTGTTTAGGAAGACAATGGTTTTGAATGTGTGTCAAACTGCTAATTGTTCTTTCTGTGACGGCTTAAGTGGGCATTAAGTAAGGGCCTAAAGATTGGCAGATGTTAAATCAGGTTGTTGCAATCACAACAAATCATGATTTCATGCTATCTAGATAAATTTAAGTAAAGGTATATAGAATCATTTTGTATTGTAAATTTAGGTATTCTACTATTGTACTTTTCAGATCTCTCTCTCTCTCTCTCTCTCTCTCACTCTCTCTCTCTCTCTATATATATATATATATATATATATATATATATATATATATAACTATGTTTATTTTGACCTGTGGAAATATGTTGTCTGTAGAACAAGTACAACATAAAGCAGAGAGAAGGAACTGTGGGTTATCCCATTTGGCTTTGCCAAAATGTTTGCTAGGGGGCACTTTTTAAGCCTATAAAAAGCAAGCATATTCTCTCTTCTTGCTTCCAGATGTATTCAACATTGTTAAAGAATGCTGCCGACATGGATGTTTAGTTCCTTGGCCTTCTGTTGACCTCTAAACTCTCTCACACATGCTCATACATACATATGTCTATTACACATGCTTGTTACATACACACACAAACAAGCACACACTTTTAACTAGTTTTGATGTTTTTTGCTTTTCATTACAATTGTGTACACATGTAATTTCATTTGTTAATAATATGCATTGTCATCAGTTTTATTTTCATTTAAAATCTTATTTTTGCCCAGACTCACATTGAATCCACCAATATTGTTAGTGAGATAAATGTTCCAGGAGCACATAAGTATTTAATATAAGTTGTCTGTATACATCACAAACAAAGAAGTGATACCTGCAACATAAGAGTTACTTATCTCTACTCAAACATTATTGCACCCTGCAACAGAACTAATAAGTGAACAAGTATTTTGCTTCAGACATAAGAATATTCAAAATGAGCATTGAAGTAGATTTACAAATATATCAGTGACAATCAATTCAGAATAATTATGGAAGAACCCTAGAAAAACTCAAGCTCTTTCAACAAACATTGAACTTTCTCCTATGATTATTATTTTAAAAAGCTCATTTGGCTCTGATAGAAAAGGTGGAAAAAAATTAAACAACTGGATTTCATGTGAACTGGCATAAAATCAGAAATTGTGTCATTTTGAAGTGTTTCCATCATTATTTTTTCAAATCAATGACCCTTTTCTGAAATGTGATGAAAAATAAATCTTTTATGATAATTTTAAATGTATATTTAAGAGGTCTTTACTTCAAAGCTGTCAAAATCTGGCATTTTATATAATAAAATCTAATACATTATTGAATGAGAAATTACTTGTTTTCTTCCTAACTAAAACATTTTGCAACTATTGAAAGAAATAATGGTTAAGTAAAATAAATATTCTACAACTGTTATATAAAAGGGTTTTATTTTTTTTCCTTCTGCTGATGCATGAACAGGGAGTTTAATTTGAACCAGCTAGAAAGTAAAACAGCACATGCAGTTATGAAAAACAAATATGGAATTTCAAACATTGTCAAAAAGAAATAACATTAAATACAGAAATTTAATTTGCATATTTTATAAAAACAAGACATATTATTTAAACATACCAAATTATCGAGATGAATTAATTTTAATGAATGCCACTACTACTAACAATAATAAAAAGACAAAAAGTAAGAGCTGGATAAGAAAAAAAATTATAGCGGTGACAACAATCACATGAAGATGATTTAGAGATTCAAAGAAGGTCCATGACAGTTTGCACATATCTTAGGGAATACTGAAAAAAAAAATGTAAGCTTGAACATACAAAGCCTGATATTACTGTGATTGATTTGATGCCCAGGAGATCAAAATCTAGTTAAGAAAGTGACTGAGAAATTTAGCAGGTATACAGATCACCACACTGATTTGATACATTTGTGGGATATAGATACTACCATAATCCCCATCATCATTAGTACATTAGGTTCCATTTCCAAGAATTTAAACAGTAACCTGAAAATGCTTTGAATCAAGTCCATGTTTCAATTCAGAAGAAATCAGCATTACTAGGAACTGCCAGCATCCTGCAAAATGTGCTCTTTATCTGAGGTCAACATGATGGTGAAAACCAATAATGTAATATCTCTATTATAATTTAATACTGTGTGAAGGCATAATAATTAGGAGAGTGATTGTAAACAACACAACTGAATGCAGAAAGCTTGTTAAAAAAATAAAAACAGACACAACAAAGTAGGTAAATTAATACACCTGAAATAGTGTAAATGACTTGGATTTGATCATCATGAAAACAAATGGTATCAGCTTAAACCAGAAGCTTATTCTAGAAAGTAAAATAAAGATATTTTGGGACTTTGAGATTTATACTGACCACCTCATCCAGGTAAGAAAACTGAATTTAGTAATCATAAGCAATAACAAAAAGAAGACATGCTATATAGTAAGCACATTTGTACCAGTAAGCTACTTGATGAAAAACATAAGGAAATGAAAATGAGAAAATACCATGACCCGCACTAGGTAACTAAGCTGTGGGATATAACAGTTAGTGTTGTGTGCATGTCAAACAGTGCAGTTAAAATTATGCCAAAAAGATCTTATTTACATTATTTTTACTCAGACTATTGTCCTCATTTTTGTTGTTTTCATCACAATGTTTCAGCCATTGTGTCCTCTGGCCTTCATCAGGTGCTTCTTGATTTGGATAACCTTCAGGGAATTTCAAACTGAACTCTTTATTTAATCTATGGTGTAAATTGTTTATGTTTCATTGATCATGTCTAGATATATCTTGTTTAGTTGTTATTTGGTGTTGCTAAGTTATTGCTATCCCTGTTTTTACTAAGTTTTATTCAGTACTACCCTATCCAGAGAATAACAGTAACATTGTGATGATAACAAGAAAGATGAAGACAATGAGTCCAAGTGTAAATAATAACTCCTCACCCCAGAAATTCAGACAGAAAGAAGAAATGTATTAGAAATTTGAGAAATAATTGAGACTGTCCTAATCCCAGCATTACTGGGATCTGTAAGGAAAGAACAACTCAAAAAGAATAAAATGTGTTCATTTTTAGCAACATTTGTATTTATTTAGTATTTAAAAATGATATAGTTGATTTCTATTTTTGTCCAATGGGGAAAGTATCAAGATAATAATCTTTGGTGCAAAAGAGGATTTAATGAAAGTTAGTAAACATACATCTTTTATCATTCTCATTACAATTCAAGTAGATAAAAGAATGGTGGGACAGGGTAATTACAAAGCAAACAACTTATCTGACCAGGTTATTTCCTGGGCTCCAAACCAGGAATCAATGCTAAGTGGATTGTATTTGTTATAGCAGTAATTGACTATAGTAAAGTAGCAGTAGGAGTGGTACTGATAACTACTACTAATGTGTTGAAATAAAAGTGATGGTAGTAGATGAAATAGTATAATTAACTTTTTGTGATCCCAAAATCTAAAGAAAGTATTTTTAAAATCAATTTTAAAAAAATAAAGAAGTAAAAAGAAAAAAGCAAGTAATATACCAATTGAAAGTACCTGCTTTCTTTATTTTTATGCAAGCAGAGAGTATCAATATAGTTTATTGTAGTTTGAAAAAAATTTACTAGACAATAAATCTTTCTTTTGGCAAGTTTGGTTACTAAAATAAGTAGAAAATAAAGAAATATAAATTAGATTAGACATTTCAAAAAAATCACCAGAATTATCCATCTTGGTAGTGCTAACAGTTGTAGGTTTTTACAAATCTAAGCTTAGTTTGGTACAGGGCCACAGAAACAAGATGCATAGCAGGGATCAATCTTGTTATACTAACAATGGTCTGTGAGATGAGAGCTTAACTATAACACTATAACATTTGCTCATAATGATAATCGTCTTAACCAATGGAAAGAGATAAAGTTGTCCAACAAGTACTATATTTGCTGACATAAAAGTTCCTCATCCCCCCACCAAAAAAAAAAAAAAATAAAATAAAACAGATACTGATGAGACAAGTGCATCAATTTCAATAATGATTACATGGAACAGTAGCATAGTAGTGCACTATATATATTTTTATGCACTATATATATTTATTTTTGTACAATGATGTTCACCTTGTACAAGACCTAAGAGCCACTGGAGTAAGAGGCACAGTTTATGTGGATACCCTAGACTTGAACAAGTTAAAATTGTAGTGATTGGAGAAGCATCCTCTTAGGAGTTAGCTGCACAAAGCAGTGATTTGTGGGAAGAAGCTGTTTGAGTAGAACTTGCATCTCACTAATGGGATACAAAGGGAATGAGGGTGGTTTGCTACAATGTGTGTGGCATAGTGGGTCTTAGCTGTGAAGGTTAGAAGTAGTGAAACTAAGGAATGTAGTTCATCTGAACACTCCATGGCAATAGCGATAGAGCAGCAAGAGGTTTGTGACATTTTGTCAGTGAGAAAGTGGTTGTGGGGTGAAAAATGAATCCTGAAAGACCAGTATGCCAAACCCAGTCAAATGCCTTTGAGATATCGAAAGAAACAGCCCAAGCTTCCCCATTCTTATCTAAAGCTAGCTTGATAAACTCTTTTTCAGCAATAATCATTAATACATCAGCTGTTGGCCTAGAGAAGTAAAAGCTATATTGCTTATATCTGAAAGAAGACCCTGCCAGGTGAGATGCTTAACCAATTCAAAGTTAAATCTAGCTTCTAGTACTTTGCCAAAAATTGGTAGAAGGCTAATAAGCCAATAATTAAAAGGATCAGATGGCACGCTTGAGTTCTTAAAGACTGGAATCACAGAAGTGGATTTCCAAGAAACAGGAAAGCAAGAAGCAGCAAGACATTTATTGTAGATTTAGTGAGAATAGAAGGCAGTTCAGGAACACATTTCTTAAGGACAATTGCAGAAATACCATCAATTTCACTTGCTTTGTAGGGATCTAGTATAGAGATGATAGCAGAAACCATGGATGGAGTTATATGCATATCACTCAATAGAGACTCAGTTTTAACTGAAAAGTCAGGCAATGATAGTCCAGATGAGTCAAGAGTAGAATCTGAAGAGATTTTGAGCAAAATATTTTGCTTTATTAGCAGTTGTTAACACTTCAAAATTTCCAAATTCGTAGACTATTACCTACAGCCCCTAGCTAAGGAAGTAAAATCCTATATCAGAGACACAGCAGACCTAATAAACAAAATTAATCACATACAGTGCCAGAAAATATTATTCTGGTGACTATGGACATAAGATCACTTTATTCAAACATTAAACACATCAAAGGATTGACTGCCCTTAAGGAAGCACTTACTAAAAGAAGAAAACAAGAACCCCCTCCATAGAACTTATCATAAAACTCATGGAGCATATTCTTACATTGAATACCTTCAACTTCAATGGAGCACACTACCTGCAGTAAAAGGCTGTGCCATAGGCACCATTGCAGCTCCATCATATGCTACAATCTTCATGGGAAATTTGAAGAGATCCATATCTATCCCTTCATCGGTAGCAACTGTGTATTCTATGCAAGATATATTAATGATATCTTCTTTCTCTACATGGGCAGTGAGGATAAACTCACTCAATTCCTCATGACCCTAAACATGGTACACAACTCAATTAAGTTTGACTACGAAAATTCCACAAGATCAGTAACATTTTTAGACACCCGCATTACATAGATAAAAACAGAAAACTACAAATGACATTACACACTAAAATCACTGACACCCACAACTATCTACACTTTAAATCTTCCCACTCTAAACACCTGAAGGAGAACCTTCCCTATTCACAAGCACAAGGCTCAGAAGGATATGTTCTAACAATAAAGAACTAAATAAACACACTCAAAATCTCGAGCATCAAATCACAACACATGGCTATAAACAACACCTAATCAGGGAACAAATAAATAAAGCAATTTCCACACCTAATGTACATAATTAAAAATAAATCCAGGCGTATCTCTCTAGTAACCACATTCAACCCCACTCTTCCTCCCCTATCCCAGATAATACTACATCTCAAACCAGGCCTAAAAATTTTGTTTGAGGAACTCAATATTGTAGACCTAAGAACCTTATGAAAATTATAGGTAGTAACCACATTTCAGAGGATAAGGTAATCTTTAATAAACAAAAAATAAAAACGACAGGATTTTCCCAACCATGTAACAACAAAAGGAGCTTAGACTGTAACGACATTAGACACACCAATTCATTCACTAGCTCAGTCAATAAATCTACTTTCACAATTTACCATGACTAACTGTAGAAGTCATAATATAATTTACCTCCTAGAATGCACAATATGCAAGAAACAATATGTGGGAAAATCTGAATGGCCCTTTTACTACAGAATTAATAATTATTGTAATCAAATTAAGTCAGCTCCCTATGAAAGATTATTACCCGTAGAACATTTCCACCTAGAAAAACATAATTTTAAAAGCCTTACCAAATTTACTATAATTGAAAAAATAGAAAAGTACAGAAAAGATAACATTAGAAAAATTTTCAGAGGATCATGAAGAAAAATGGATTTTGTGCCTCAAAACACTCCATCCAGACAGGCTTAATCACAAATTTAACAGCATAGATGGAATTAATATATAACCCCACAAATCAAGCCCTACCCACATTTCTCACCGACACAAGACAGACATGCTTGCGGGAGTGTTGAGGTCCTACACTTATACACACATCCATACTAATATATTCACTTACAAACATCATACATACTCCCAAAAAACTAAATGATAACATGAACTTAACGCAGACACATCCTCTTCCCAGAAACCAATAAAACTGTCAAAATGACCAAGGGAATTCAGAGTAGCATGAATCTATCCAGCCTCTATCTTAAAAAACAACTTAAAAGAGGCCGTTTGACCAAGGACTGACCAAAATTAACGATAAAAAACAAATGAAAACTACAGAGTTCATTTTCTTCAGAATGTCATTCATTCCTGTAGTTCACTGTTACAAACAAGCAGAAATTTTTTTTTCTCCTGATCATAGCCATGCTGGCTCAAACTAGTCGAAGAACCTAATTGAAGTAATAAAAAAAATATATATTAATATACAACCCAGTGTGTCTGAAAATTATAATTTTTATTGTTACACACACACACACACACACACACACAAAGAAACAGTCTTTCTCTCTAGAGAGTGTTGGCCATCATATGACTATGTTTTAATACTAAAAATATATTTTTGTCAGTGTGGATTAATATCAGGTTACTCATTCTTGGTCATCCATACTTATGCTGTTCCGTGAAATGTACATAAATGTAATCATACTTTTATGAAAAGTAACTCAAAACATGTTTGAAGTAATGGGTAACAATCATATGCAGTAATCAAATGTATTTTTCATTATATTTAATAAAAATTCAAAATTCAGTTAATTATTGATAGAATTGACTAATTTTCATGCTACTTTAATTTTGAAAGATTTGTGCTTACAGTTTAAATTTTTCTGTTGCTAGATATCAGTCATGGTACAATTTCAGTAATTTTAAATGACAAAAACTGACTTAACAAAATATCGGATTACCATCAGTCTAAAATCTGCATTAAGTACATAAAAGTATTTTTTTTTACAACTAAATTTATGCAACTGCAATTAAAAGCAAAATTAATACTTCAATGAAGATATTTAAATTATTGCAATACATAGTAAGATTTTTATAAGAAAACTCAGTTTTTTATATATTAACAATAGAAAATCAATGACTTCATCTATGGCCTACAGAAGACTTCAGAATCTCTCGCAACTCTTCTGGACAGTCTCCTTGTTTAAGTTGGTAAATGCTGCCATAATCCTTACCTTCAGTTCATCTTTGGTGTTACAAAGAGTTTTGTTGGTCACTCACTCAACTGCGCTCCACACATAAACAAGAGGGTTGCAGTCTGGAGAGCTAGGTGGCTAGATGGAAGGGGTGAAATGGTTGCAGAAATTGTCTGACAGCCATGACTGGGTTCTTCTGATTGTGTGATATATGGTGCAGAGTCCTGTTGCCAAACATAGGGTCTTCCAGCAGCCACCCTTTTGACTAAGTGCAGCACTACCTCCTCAAAGCACTTGATGTAGGTCACTGTGTTGAGCCTGAGGGCCTGTGGGAAGTTGAATAGAGGCATAATGTCGCCATCACTAGTGATCACTCCAAAAACCATGATGTTGACTGGATATATCATCCAGTTCTTTCCAAATCTTCTGTACTGTCCTCAGATTGACACCCAAACAATCTGAAATGTTTGTATTGGAGCTTCCAGCATGAATGCTAAGCATTAAAGAATGCCGTTTCCAAATTTCTGGTGGAGTGAATTTCATCATGGTGCTCTTTTTCTCACAGATGGTGTCCAACTGACTCTACTATACTGTGCAGTTGACAAAAGCAAAAACAAATAAACGCTTTGTGTAAATTGAAAAATATAAAATGGTGGCAATTTGCCTATCCCATCCTGTATTTCATACATTACAAAGCAATTAGCAATGGTTTTTAAATACTATCTGAATAGATAAATACATAATGAAAATAAATAAATGAAAAGTTCTTACCCGTCGACGTAAGAATTCTATATTCTTTTGCCTGTTAGTTATTTGTGAAGGTGAAAAGTTACGCTTGGAACATTCATCAAAGTACTTCACTTGGCCAGGCTAGAAAAGAAAATATTTTCCATTAGTAAGACAATAGATAAATTGCTGAAAAATCAATATATACTTTTCATCACCATAAACCACTTATCTTTTTAATTAATAATTTATAATTCTTTTCACACTTTCTCTTATCCTTTATTCTACTTTAGTTTAATTCATTAAACCAGCATTTCTCAACCAGTGCACCTGAGTGCATTAATGAACCCTGAAAGGTAGGTGTGTCCCAAGTTAACAGAAGAATAATTTATGAATTATTTTTATATTTAAAAAAATCTTTATTTTTAAAAATCTAGAGACTCCAAGCAAATAGCTTCTATGTCTAAGCCAAGTCTTTGTCATTTGATATTTTAAACAGAAAGCTAAATTCTTTAATTTTTGAGAAGGAGTGAATAATCCTTTCCCTTTTTACTTCCTCAAGAGATTTAAATCAGTCATTATCAGCCACTCTAAAAAATATCAGATTCTTCATAAATCTCTTTAAATGAAAACTGTACTATTAGTCTTTTTGGGGGAATGCTAAACCAAATTTTCATATTTTCAAATTTCATAACTAATTTTTTCTTATTAAAATTTAAAGTGCACTCTAGAGTTTTAGTTATTCTACAAGTAAAGTAAAAGATGTTGAGAAACACTGCATTAAATGCATGTACTTGTATAAATAAGCAGCATGTTCACTTGACTTTGATCATGATCATAGCTTGGTTTTGCAAATTAAAATTTAACAGCTTTTTCCATGTTTGATATAAGGCATCCAATGGTCAGCAAGAATGTGATACAAGGATTTTTTGCAGCTGCAGTATTAGGTTTGACAATTATATAGATGGTACCAACTCATCTCTTATGCTTTCTTTGCTGTTTGTTTCAGAAATAAAGGATTGCCTAATAAATCTTATACAGCCATGTCTCCCTGCTGGAAGCTGCTTTTGTCCACAGGAAGTAGTGGATTTCTCAGGAGAAGTGGGTCCTTTTTAAGGAGGTTTTGTATTTCTTCTGTAAGACCTCCTAGCTAGACTGATTCTCCAAACATGGATGGTCCTTTGAAGATGATGGCCTTCTATCCTCACCCATCACAGATAATTGTCATTAATAAACACTGAAATATTAACAAAATCAACAATATTTCTTTGTTTACTAAACAAATGTTGATTATCAACAAGTTTGTCTTCAGCTATTTTCAAACTTGTTAAATAATGGTTCTGAAGAAGAAATTTGGTTCTATTTGTTTCCTATTGAAATAATAAAATTACTCTTTAAAACCTTAAATAATATATCTATCTATAAGTACATAAGATTAAATTATACACCTTACAAAACTTATTTCAAGATAAATGCAATATATAATAATAAGAAATGTGCCTTCTACAGAATAATGGTTATCAGATCTTGCAAACTATTTGTAATGTGTTCAATTGTCAATGATTTCTCTTTCATGAATGTAGTATTTTCAAAACACATACACACAAATTTTAAAGACTTTCAATGCTAATCACATTTACTAATCAAGTTTCTCAGAGTAATTTACATAAATTCACCTCCCATTATCTTCTAGGTTTGCTTTTTAGTTGATTAATTCATAATAAAAAATAAAAATTCCCTAATTATTAGTAACCATTTATTTTTACCCTGAAAAATACCAAATCCCCCCAAAAAATTGAAGTTTGCAAACAGTATCTACAGAATTACTTATTAGTATACTAATTCTTACAGCAATTGATAGCAAAGAATTTAACAGGTTTAACTGAGAGTTAAAGATATCACATTAAAAAATTCCATTACATAAGCACAGTGGCTATGATCCTAAAATTTAAACATTCCTGTTTTAATTTAAGGCTTATTAAATTCTTTTTAAAGTTTAAAGCAAAATACAAATTTGAAAGAGTATATTTTTGCAGGACGAAGAAGTTTGTAGAATACAACATGAAAAATAATCAGAATTATCCCATTTACTTATTAGGTGCAGAATTTATTTGGAGAAAAACTGAAACTCTACCAATCCCCATTTGAAACTTTAGTAAATGGCTCCTAGTACATTGGTCACTTTAATATAGTTTTTTTCTTATTTAGATATGGAAATATAATATATTTAGCTAACCATTCTTATAAAGCAATATATCAAGTGAATATGATTTTTTTTAAAGAATTAAATATTTTAGTAGTAATTTATTTATTTGTTGACTTTATATTGTATATTTTTGTTATGAATGTTTTAAACCTTTGTGTTAGTATTTACATAGGTACCTCCATGAGATCGTAAAAAAAGAGCATAGCATGATGAAAAAGACGCCAAACTTGAAAAAAAACAAAATTTTATCGTCTAAATGTTCATGTTATTATTAAGAGGAAAGATCAAAGTATTTTAGGGGTATTTTTTTACATTTTTTAATCATTCTGAGCACGTCCAAAATTTTTGTTAAAAATCTTGTTTTTTTAGTCAGCAAAATTGACAGATAATCAATTAAGGCATCCATTTTTTTTCAATTTTATAAAAAAGATGAAAATCTTACTTTGAAATTCTTTTAAAGATCAATTATCATTTTTTCAAAACTTATTTTAAGAAAATCATAAATTATAATGTTTATTTAAAATATTTTGAACCAAGTTTGACTTAGCTTCTGCGCTGAAAAGATGTAATTTGAAAATAAAAACAAAGCAGGTCATAACCTTTCGTGTCACTTGACAGGTGTTGAATGACATATTGATGGATTTATGTGATCATAATTTGTTCTACGGAAGGCAAAAAGTGATTTAAATGAACAAATTATTTACCTCATTATTTTTAAGGAAAACTTTCAGCGCTCTAATTTTTTTTTTTTTGTACTCAGCTTTCACCTTTACATTTATGATGCTTTATGGAAAATATATTATAAAGAAATTAAAATAAGACTGTTAAGAGTGAGATTAAATTTCATATTTCATAAGAAAGGTATCTAATTAATTTATAGGTACCTTTCTTATGAAATTTTATCAGAAGTGTACATAAAATACTATAATTTTATGTACATTTATTACATTTTACTGTGTTATTTGTATTTCCATTCATTTTATTATTAATTTTGATATTTCATTTATGGAAAAATGTCATAACTGAGATTAATATAAAAAAATAAGATCATATAAATTTCATAAGATGATACTGATACTTGTAGGTACCCTTCTCAGTTGAAATTGAAAAAATCAAATTAATTCTCCTACGTGTTTCGCAAAAGTAAAGGCCTTAACAGTGGAGAACAATGCTTAACTCAAATAACGCAACTTAATTGTATTCCATTGTGGTCTTCCGTATTTTATAATTACAGCCCGATTATAAACACAAAATTACATTTCTTAATTACCATGGATCTTCTGATTAGTCAAAATGATACAATTTACAATGTGCTAAAAAAAAGATCTATCTCATAAGGACTTTTTTAGGAAACTTGATGCGGCTTTTAACTAATTTTATAATATTTTAACAACTTAAATGTAAAAATCTATTATAATTAAAGAAATAACAAATAATTGTATTAAAAATTCATTTTTCATCAAAAAATTTTTTGCTTTCAGAAAATATTGTCCATATTCATAAAAACAACTAAAAGCAAATAAAAGCATTTGAAATCAAATAATATCTTTGTTTTATTGAATTTTGTATGTTACAATTCAGAGCTGATTTTCAGGTAGGTGAGATCCAATTAAAAACAAAAAAAAACATGATTTGCATTCCTTAAAGCCTTGTGCTTTTAACTATTGTAATCACTAAACCTGATGCGATCGAATTTCTAGTGATTCCATAAAATTAGTTGGGGGGAGGTAATAAATATAAAAAAAAATATTTCTGACATGACTTTAATAAAAAAAAACATATTTATAATAATTTCGATCATCTGTGAAAAGTATCTGAAAGTTTCATTAACATCCGATAATTATTTTTATTTTGCAAGATTTTCCAAATTAAAAAAACGTGCTAAAAATTGTCTATGTTATTTTACTAGTTCCGGTGATACAAAGAGAAACAAGGTTTTTAATCAAAACTTAGAATGTTCTAAAAAAAAGGAAAAAATTTTTAAAATAATTAAAAATACTTTGGTCTTTCCTCTTAATTATGACATATGCATTTAGACAATAAAATTTTGTTTTTGTCAAGTATGGCATCTTTTTCATCATGCTATGCTCTTTTTGTTAGTGATCTCATGGAGTTACCTATACTTACACTATTTACATTGTTCAAACTGTTCTCCACATTTTTATTGCCATATTCACAACGTTTCAACCATTGCACCACAGCTGTTTAAAAGCCTTGTTTTTGTCATATAGGAAAATCCAACATGGTGTGTAAACGAAATATTCAGCAAAAAATCTCATTCATCAGTAACATTTTAAACACCTCATAGAATGTAAAGTTCTTAAAAGCAAACCTATGCCAAACTGTTTTCCTGAATCTTTGATGACTTGGCTGTCTTAAAATGACAGCATCAAGATGAAATAATGGAAACTGACCGTGAAAAACACAATTATGTGCAACAAGTTTTCAATCCATCAGTAAACTTCTGGACCTTTTCAGGTGACGTTATAGGACCCAGATGGCTATTGTTTGCACATGGAATTATTCACTGGCCATTAATCTTCGATTTGGCTGTGAAAAATATCACTTGGTGGTTAGCATTAAGAAATTATGCCCAATTTTCTGAGAAAGATCACCGTTATTTTATGAAAAAATATTTATTTTTGCTTCAAAATAATATCATTCAAACTTCATCCCTTTCTCTTTCAATTGGCATGAACATCATTGAATAAAAGGAACAGCTAAATGGCCCAGCGATGGGAAATACGAAAGATATGTGGCGAAAAAAACAATGTTGTCTGCTAAGTGTTGTTGTCATCACTGGGTCATGGGTGTTAAAAAAAAACAAAACAAAACACATCAAGCCATTGTTCAAACATAGGTTATATCAAGCCCTACTAATGTTGACTTTTTTTTTTTTCACACTTTGCTCTTATCTGGGAGTGGTGGGTTTTATTACAACTTGTTCTAAATGTTTATTGTTGGCTGGCTGACCTTTGACCCAGAGATGTCAAAGTCATTTTGGCTTAATTTTCCTTATCGCTGCTATTTTTTAAAAAAAAAAAAAAAAAACTTTTGGTTTCTGGTGGTCAGGAATTCAGATAAATCTTTCGCCTTTTACTAAAGATTTCCGTGGCCCGGTGTCAATTTTTTTAACCCCTGGCAGTCATATAATTGAAAATTACCAATGGACTTTGTCGCATTTTGACCCCCTAGGAATGTTGATTTCCTTCAAAACTCTCAATTTTATGCCTGAAATAGTTTGATTATGATTTAAGCTTTCTGATTTTCAAAAACAAAAAAAAAATGGTTAATTTTCCATTAATGGGGAAAATGTTTTGTTTGAACTAGAAAAAATGCAAAATTTTCATTATTTTTTCACATTTTACCACCTGAAAAAAAATTTGAGTCATTTACACCAGCCAATTTTACTTTTAAATGAAAGAATATATCCTTTGCTTTCAGAAAATACCTAGTTTCATGGGGTTCAGATCAAAAGTTTCCTTGATATTTGTTTAGGTGATGATAAAACAGTCATTTTTCAATATTTTGCCTCTATAAAAGTATGAAAATCCATTTTTTCAGAGAAAATAAGCTGTGACAAAATGACTTTTGCCATTTTTGTGATGATTTTTACCTGGGATAGAAAATTTTTACCATAGCAAACCTGAATTGACTTTATTTAAGTTCAGTGGGGCTATAGGAAACCTCAAATAGCTGTGGTACACTCCAGCCTTCTTCAGGTTATATACATTGGAATTTCAAACCAAACCCTTTATTTAGTCCACAGGGGTAAATTGTTCTAGTTCCACACCCCATGCCCTTTCTTGGTATCTCAGTTTCAGTTAATTTAGTAACTCAATTCTCCAAGTTTTCACAAATTTGAGATGCCTATATAAGTTACAACAAGAGGGTTAAGTAAATGGAAAACGTCAATCCAATGCTTTTATCCACTGGGCCATTCTTTGTGTCAGTGTTACAATTAAAACTCAGATTAATAATTTGTTACAAATGTTACTACTAATTAACAATAAGTCTTATAACATTTGCTATCATCATCATTATTATTATCTATACTTGCTCAGGTTTTCACCAGTAGTAACTGGTAGCTTTCACTAAAGATCAACTAACAGCAAGTCTCCTCAATACTCCAGCACTCTTCTCAGTTTTTTTGCTGATTTTAGCAATACTGTTGTATAGACCATTTTGGTTTTTCCTATGGATTTCCAATTCTTCAAACCTATTTAGAGCTGTTTCAAGGGCATCAATATTAATGAGCATATCATATTTATAAGTCCTCACAAAAACAATTTGGTTGTTTTTTTTTCTTCTTGACAGCTTTGTAGACTCATTAAAAAGCCTTACTGTATGCCAATATACATCATCTTATTATAAGTAGAGGTTGGAAGTACAAAATGGGTTTTTGGAGCTATCTTCAGAATATGGTGGCTAACATATTTTTTTAAAGATTTTAATCCCTTGAATATGTTTCCAGGCATTTTCCCACTATATGCATTTTTAAGGATCTGCCAGGTGAAAATCTGATTAAGAGCCAAGAAAGAGGTCAGTTTTAAAGAAAATTGCTTTATTGGTTATTATCTCACTGTTGTAATGGTTATTAACATGGTTCTCAGTAAGGTATTACTTAAAACAAGAAAAGGTATAAAATTTCTAATGGTCAAAAAAATTTGAATACCATTGCATTGCAGTTCAGTTAAATATCATGGTATATTAGCTCAAAAACAGAGTTAAAAGCATAAAAATACTTTTTCTTTAGAAATATTTGCTAAAAAAGAATATGAGTATGATTTTTTAAAGATTGTTAAAAAGATAGTAATAAACAGAATGTTAGTCATAACAAAAATTATGGTAATTGGTTCTGCTTAGATCAGATTTTATTCATATATGGACTGTGGCTAAAGTATTATTGTGAGAGAAAATTAGAAGCCCATTAAAACATTTAGGACACACCCGACAAAAAAGCCAGGTTAATGATCTTAAATAACACCAATTAAAATATTCTACATCTATTTTCTTTATACAATAACACCATCAAAAATATTCAATGCATCAGTCACCACCACAAAACATTACAAATGCAAGAAAAGTGAACTGTGTGAATAGACATCCATTAATTGGGTTAATAATAAAAGATGCCATACCTTCAGAAGAACATTTTTCAGTATTGTAATATAAATACTACCATATTGTTGAAAGCCTTTAACCATGAACTGTTGCATTTTCATGTAAAATATGTATTCAGTATAAGCCCAGAAAATAATTGGCTGCTCACTATTCTCATTGGAGGATATTTCTAATTCTCATTGTTGCACCAGAGCAGAAACATGAAAGACAGCACACATCTTGGGTACCACTTATTCTCAGGAAATGTTTTAATTCTATTAGTTTTAGGATAAAGTCCTTGAGGGACAGCTTTTATCCTTGGGCTTTGCGTAAAATGAACACTGCTGCACACTACCAATTTTCCACATATTTTAAACGTTATTAATTTTCATTCAATAGTGTTTTTTCTTGTGTATATGTGTATTGGTGTACCTGGGGACTCCTGTCCAATTTCATTGTGCATTGCACTATGACAAGAATAAATAAATAAAACCTCTAGTCCATGCCCTAATCACCCGGCATATCTTCAAAAACAAATTGAAGAAAGTTGTCAAAAACATCATTAGTGGTATGATTTCTTAAAAAAAGAACAAAAAACAGGGAGCCAGTAAATGTCATGACATGGCCCCAGTACCTTCAAAATCTACTCATACTCTTGGAAAAGGTACGTATTCACCTCTTCTCCTCTAGCTATGAGTTAATTAGTAGGACTTGTATCAGTAAATCATTATTATCTCCAAAACATTCTCATAATCTAAAAATATTTTGTGGCTTAAATAACTTGTAAAAGGTTGATAAACAATAAAAAAAATCATTCAATCATGTCCATCTAATTAGCTTAAATGAATCTTTATTTTCTTTAATTGTATAAAGGTCCAGCTGAAAATTTCATAACCAGAAACCAAAGTTATGACCATTTTTCCATGGCTTTTTTTCTCATCAGCAGAAAATTAAGACAAAATGATATGTATTGTTGTACTAATATTTCTCAGTGGCCACCAGGGTGTCATAAACATTAACTTCTTGATAATATTAACTTAAAAGTCATCACAAAAACACTTTTGTGATAGGAGTAAATAAGTTCACATATCGTCCAGTTCTGATTCCTCCCCTTACATCAAAAAAATGTCATGATGAATCCAGAGGGGGATTTCACAATAGACTGCTATGTAGTCAGATTTTAAGATTTCCAGATTTAAAATGTAAAAAAATGTTATACTACTTTTATCAAGATCTCTTTCTGATTCACAATTATATTTCACTAGACACGTCAGCTGGATGTGAGTAGTAAGAAAGCAAAATCCAAAATAAAAAAAAAAGTTGTCTTTTGTGCAGGGGCTCTGAGCATCGCATCCAGTCCACAAAACAAATCTAAATATAATAACCAATCATAAATGCTACTGCCAAAGGAAAAAAAAAGCCTGGAGGCCAGCACCTGTTAAACCACAGATATAAAAAATACACTGCACTCACCATAATAACAGGCAATTCAGTTCAACACCTCAACCTCACCAATGACCACCAACCAATCCACACACTTCACCAGTGTTGATTTTAATCCTGAAGATAGATGAATCAATCTTGCCAATGACACCCTATTCATACTACCAGACAGCTTCACTGATCTGCTCCAGGCCTCTCTCTTGATACCAACTGTAAATTTCTTGTGAAATTCCTCAAGTTATTTAAATGGAATATGATCCAAGAGTTTATGATTACAATTTTTAAATATTGCATGATTCAATAAATACATAGTACAAATAAGGTATAGCTCAATAAATACATAATACAAATCCATAATCTCTTCCCAGAGCCAAATGCTCCATTTGAGCTTTCTACAGGAACTAGGTTAAAATTCGAACCATATAACACTTACCGGTGGTTTGTGTAGTCGCCAATAAGCTCTTTCTTGACTATCAGAAATCTCCTTATCACATCTGTTTTTACCCTTTGCTACTCTGAAATAAAATAAGCAAAAAACAAATTAATAAAATTTGAAAAAAACTGTACAATTAACTCTGAACAATGGTGGTTCCACAAAATAAGCAAAAAACGTATTAAGACATCTATACAAATAATGGTTTATCTCTGCAGGTAAACAGAACTCTTTTAAAAGCTCTTGCATTGAGACTGGGAATTAATAGCCATGTAGGTATTTAGCAATATGCCCAAGGTAATCAGTTCATCAGATTAATTTATAAAAATGTTTTTCCTTGGAAGAAACTATTTTCAAACTTTAAAATTTATAAAAATAGTTTCCTACTTTTCAAAATTTAATTGTAGACGTTAATCAATTTTCCAATGTCAAATATATAAATTCTTCCTGCATTCATTATACATTACAATCATTTGCTATTTATCAATTTATTTCCAACTTTTAACAATACAAGATTTTATCTGGTAGGTCAAACTGTTTTTATTGTAACCTGGTAAAGGAAATCAACAATTCGATGCCAATTACTAAGATGGAGGCATTGAATCATCTTATCCTCACAATTTTTTTATGGAATAAGTGTGTGTGTGTGTGTCATATATATATATATAAATATATGTTATTGGACCATCTATAAAACCATTGTGGGCCCCTGATTTCTAGTTGTATTGTTTTCTATGTTCGTTTAATCATTCACAGGAATAAAATTAAATGGTCAATAATATTAAACATATTTATTTTATTGGCACTTCAACAAAACTGGTGTTAAAATATTAAAAACATGCTGTACAGCAGTAACTAATAAACATGATACACATTTGAACAATGCATAAGGCTTGAAAAACAATAATACACAAGATTAGATGGCACAGTATGAAATTACTATAAACTTATTATAACAAGCATTTGTGGCATTTTTTTCAGAGAATTGCTTTATTATTGGCTTGAAGTCAATGGTCTTCAGGAATAGGATGTCATTTTCCATGCACATGAGTGAAAGCCAGTTCAAATGATGCTGACCCATTGTGCTATAAAGCAGATTTTTTTATTTTCAGTCTTGAAAAGAACGTTTTTCCTGTACAGTTGGTCACCATCATGCACATGAACACTCTGAGTGCAATTTCAACATTTGAGAATACAGATTTCAAATTGTCCAAATTTTTTTTTCTGTACAGTGCAGGGAAAGTCTCACAATTTTTATCAAGAGACATGTATTGCTTGAGATGCTGACATTCATTTAAAAGGATATCATAATTCAGGTTTTTGTGATAAATATTAGCCCATTGTTCACCTTTTTCTTTAGTGCATTAGAAGCAATGGTTTTCAATTCACTAAAGAAAGAAAACAGATTTCAATCTGTGAATAAACCTCTGCACATTTTGTCAGTTCAAAGATTAGAGTGTCCAGAATAGGAGGAAAGTTTCCATCTTGAATTTTTGGTTTTACTGAAAAGTACCTTTTCTGCTGATCTATCATATCTATTAAGATGCACAATTTGTTTTCATTTTTTTTTCCATCACTGTAATCTGTATCTGGACACATAACTCCTGGCTTTGAATTCACATTCACTAATTTGTCTCTAGTTTCCTGAAAATAGGTTTTCATTAGACTCAAGAAGATTTGTGGCAACAAGGATGTTCAGGGTCTAGTTTGATTACAGGACCTTGCTTATTTTCTTCATTCTTTTCTAGCATATCATTTCAAAGAATTGTAAGAAAGATTGTTTCAAGGTTTTCCATTTTTTGCTCAATCCTTCTGCTTCTCACCTTGTATTCACTTGCTGTTCATTGTCAGCTGATAGAGAATCCAGTGCATTTCTATTTTCTGGAAACCCCCATGCAGAGCATGAACATCATCAAAATGTGTTGACAGATACTTGACCACAAAATCTTTTTTCTAGATATGATTTCAATACATTTCAGTGATGAGTAGGACCAGCAAAAAATGAACACAGATGCTGAACAAAGCCAAAGAATTTTACAGTCTGTGGACAACACTCTGCTGCTTTTACTCCCACTAAGTTCAGGCTGTGTCCAACACAGGGGACATAGATGGCAAACTAATTGAGTTGAGGAATCTGTGCATGTAATCCAGTATATTGTTCAGACATATTTGAGGTATCATTGTATGACTGACCATGATAGTTTGATAATGAAATTTCATTAAGAAAATCCACAACAGTATTTGTTAGATCCTTTGCTCCATGAAAAAATATGATGAACATCAAGAAACGTTCCACAGGCTCACAGCCTTTAATGTATCAGACAGTAAATGTCATTTGATCTGTGTGTGAGATGTCTGGAGTGGAATCTACACTTATTAAATAATTCTTCAACTCTTAATTTTTCAAGAATAATACAAAGATTCTGTTGTCCCATTAATTCAATAAATTCTTAATAAATATTTGCAGATAAATGTGAATATGAATTTTCCCAGATTTCCATATATTTTAAGATATTTTTCTAAGAAAGGGTCAAATTCACTCAATAGCTCTAGTATACCTAAATAGCCACTATTTTTTGCTGACCCAGTAATTGGATTTTCTCCATAAAATGGCAAACTTCGGAAAGCAAGAAAGTGAATTACAGAAACCACAAATGTCAACACTTTATGCCAATATTCCTGCTATGAGCGATGTAACTCAAGTAAAAAAGAATATACATAGGTACCTTAATGAGATCGCTAAAAACAGAGCATAGCATAATGAAAAAGATGCCAAATTTGACAAAAACAAAATTTTAGCATCTAAATGTTTATGCTATTATTGAGAGGAAAGATCAAATATTTTTTAATTATTTTTAAAAAATTTTCCTTCTTTTTAGAACATTTTAAATTTTGATTAAAAAAACCTTGTATCTCTTTGTGTCACCAGAACTAGTAAAATAACATAAAATTTTAGCGCATTTTTTTCTGTATGACAGACATTAATTTTGAAAATCTTGTAAAAATAAAAATAATTGTTGGATTTTAATGAAACTTTCAGAAACTATTCACAAATGATGGAACTTATTATAAATATGTTTTTCTTCTTAAAGTTTTGTTTTCATCAAGTTTGGGGTCTTTTTCGTCATGCTATACTCTTTTTTAGCGATCTCATTCATTAAGGTACCTAAATATACACTTTTAGTTTCTTTATGGATGCCTTATCAAATATGCTGTCATGCACTTAGAATGTTGTTCTCCATTTTCATGATCTACAATAACATTCTTGTTCTTCCAGTCATTGAACCCCGATTTAGCAAAGGGAGATTCTTTCTTGGACAATAGTCGACATACAAAGCAGTACAAATAGCCTTGGAATAGTGAATAGCCATTCACGTTTTACACATTTGCCATTCCACAGTTCACGTTTGACCACATTGTTTGAAATAACTTGCCTCCATATTCTGTACTCGAGCTATTTTATACAAATTGGATGAAGAAAGTAATTCTTCAACAGAAAACTGACATTTTTAAACAACGACAAGTACAAGGTCAGTTTTATCAAAAAAAAAAAAAAATATCCAAAGAGAAATATGAATTACTTTGTTGTTGTGAAATGAACATCGAATGAGAAAATTATGTTTTAGTTAAGACAGCTGAATTGCTGTTTTTGTTTTGAAATGAACATCAAAATTTTAGGACAGTCCCTATTTTGTCACGGCTGTGACAAAAAGAAAAAGAGAGAGAAAGAGAAGGTGAAAGAAAGGAAAATAAAGAAATAAAAAAAATAATTTATTTACAAAAGTAGAAATATAATAATTATTAAACATTCAAAACAATATTGATTCAGTCTAGGTGATATTTAAGAATTAAATCAAACTAGAGAAAAAATAAAAGATATTATCAACAGTGGTCTTGGTCAGAGTACAAAATAGAAATGAGTTTTACCGACGATTCTGTTCTAGGACTGAGCGAAGACTGATCGTCTGGAGTCAGGGTCAGTTCTTTGATCTTTTCTGTGATAGCAAAATTGTCTGCATGTGAACTGAACTGGTGAGACAAACCACTCTTCCATTTATTATAGGTGGGCGGCCTCTTTGAAGAAAATCTTCGCCATTTCCGGAGACTTCTCGGTCAAAAGGGGACATTCTCCCACTTTTTTTTCATTCGAGAACCAACTCAAATAAAATGGATCTTTCTATTAGAACATATTTTCACCAATACACGTGGCTTGTCGTAGTTCTCATGTGTTAAAACGGCTCTATCGCTCGCTCTCTCTCTCTCTCTCTCTCTATATATATATATATATATATATATATATATATATATATATATATATATATATATAATTGGTATATACGGAATGAATTCCAATAACCAACAATTACTATTCTAAAAGAGTGCTCAATACAAAGTAGAGCAGATATAATTATTATTTACAAAAAAATTATAACATAAGTATGTTATAAAATCACTACAAAAATAGCCATTTTGTTTCAACACCCTCGGTGTCTTATCAATATGATGATGTTAAAGATAATTTTTTTATTTTTATTTTATTTTTAAACATCATCACTTGATAAGACATGAGGGTATGAAACAAAATATATATTTTTGTAGTGATTTTATAACATACTTATGTTATAAATTTTTATAAATAATAATTGTATATATATATATATATATATATATAATATGGATATAAGAGGAAATCAGGATCGGAGAAGTCTCTTATATCCGGGTTTTCTTTATATCCGGCTTGGTTTGGTATATTTATATACATTAACACAGGCTCTAATTTGGAATCAGAGAAGATCTCTCTTATATCCGGGTCTCTTATATCCGGGTTACACTGTGTGTATATATATATATATATATATATGGATAAAGGCAAAAGAAAACTTAACTGACACATTTTGTCCTCTGAGAGACTTTATCAAGGCAAATGCAAGGATTTTATTTTGTGAAAAGTATTTACAAGATCAAAAATATTATTGGTTTCTAAAAAAATTTAAATTTAAAAACACTCATAAATATTCATCAGGTTAGCCGAAAATCAGGCAAGCTATGGAGGACACGAAGTGACATAATTCAATGTCTAGTAAATGAAAGTGAGTAAACTATGTTCTTGAAATTTTTTTTTTTTTTAATGCAAATAGGTATTTAAATTATTTTAGTTTGGGATTAATTTATGCATAATATATTTTAAATAACATGAGGTTATGAATTTAACTGTTTTTATAGTCATGAATGTTGCTTTGGGAAAGTTGTAATTCTTTCAGGAATGGAAATATTTTTAAAAAAATCCAGAGTGCAGATTTATATTTTCATAAGATTCAATAGGGACATTCTCAAGAATTTTCCTTCTAAGTAAGTTACTTTCTCTTTTGATAAGTGTGGCATTCTTGAGGTCAAAGTTGTTGTTGAGTTTATTTCTATGTATAAATAATGCATTGGATAAATTGTTGTAAGATCCTTTTTGTGTTCATAGATACATTTTTTTTAAATATAGGCAAGTTTCCTCAAAGTCAGCCATAATGTCTATATAGGCTGTGATATTTAGATGATCTTTTATTGTTACCAAGAGTTCAAATGTACATCAAGAAAATATTTCCGATAACATTAAACCAACACCACCAACAGCAATTTGAACTATTGATGCAAGGCAGGATGGATCAAAAATTTCATGTAGTTTATGACAAATTCTGGCCCTACAATTCAAATGTTGTACCATAAAGCAAGACTTATCAGATCAGGTAATTTTTCCAATATTCTATTGTCAATTTTTTTGTTATTCTTGGGGATTTGTAGCCTCAGGTTCTTATCTGACAGGAGTGGCACCTGGTGTGGTCTTTTGCTGCTGTAGCTCATCTGCTTCAAGGTTCAATAGGTTGTGCTTTCAGAGATGCCCATTTGTTTATCTCTGTTGTAAAGAGTGGTTATTTGAGGTACTGTTACCTTTCTGTATTTCTTAAACTAAACTGGTTATTCTCCTCGAACAAGAGATTTCCACCCATAGAATGGCCATTCAATGGATTTTTCTGCCCTTTCCCTGTAAACCTTGAAGATTGTTGTGCACGAAAATACCAGTATTTTTTTTAA